TCTTAAGTAAAAAAATATTTCCAAGCTTATACATTGTTTACAATAACGATCTTAAACCCGACATTCTTTTAGATAAACAGATGTAATGTTACTAATATATATTACTCTTATTAGTTTGAAATTTGCAAGCGAATATTGAATTAATTATTTTGATAAATTTTACTTCCACATTCGGACCGTGTATAATCTAATGGTTAGCGTACTCGGACTTTGAATCATACGGTTTATGATTCGAGTTTCGTTGCCGCACAAACGTGATCCACATTTTGGGTTTGTGGGTGCGTCACAAGAGTGATGGTCAAATCCCACTATTTGGTCAGGCATAAGATTTGGCCGTAGTTATTTGTTTGTAATCCTTTCATCACTGATTACGAGCTACTGTTAGTTTATAGATGTCCGCAGAGGATTACGGTGCCTAATGCAATCTTTTATTTCAATGCAAACATACCTTGGTGACTGTAATGTTCTTTGAACCAATTTACACAATATGAGTGTCACAGAGAGATGTTTTCACAGATCCCTTGTCCATGAAACTGGGCACTTTGCTTAGTGGAGTGGGCATGATTAGAAAAAACGTTCAGGTTACTCTGAATATTATTCGCCATCGTGAAATAATTGAAGGACCCAACTTTCACCACACCATTATACCAATTCGAACAGAATTGAAAGACCCAACTTTTACCACACCATTACACTATTTCGAACAGAATTGAAGGACCCAACTTTTACCACACCATTATACCAATTCGAACAGAATTGAAGGACCCAACTTTCACCACACCATTATACCAATTCGAACAGAATTGAAAGACCTAACTTTCACCACACCATTATACCAATTCGAACAGGCTTTTACTGTCCGAACAAAACAAGAAGTGTCAAGTGTCCGTCGTAAATTTATCTTCAGTACAGAAAATGGTAAAAATGTACTCATCCGACCATGTCCTACGTTTACAGTGATTCATTGTTTACACTTTGAGCATGGTTTCCTGGTTACATCTGAGATGAACGGTTTTCGGTTACCATACGAGATTGTTTCGGAATATCCTGATCAATTTACAAGTCTTGCTACTCTCTTTTACCTCAGCTAGTCACAGAAATTGGCGGTCACATTTTCCCTCGTGGCAGACATATTCCCATTGATAGAATCTGATAAAAGTCGTCTTCGCATAATCAGTCAAAAGAAACAATTTATACTTAAGACAAACAATAACTGCCATGTCTGTTCAAAAGTCTAATTTCCTTGCGCTTCTTACATTTTTGAAGACTAACCACGATATGTTTACATCTTTGGACTAATAGTGCTTAAATAATCGCACGATCAGTTTACTTTGTATAAACGAATAAAGTGAGTGTTTCAATAAAGTGGGCCAGCTAGTGTATATTATGCTAACAAAACGTTTTAGACTGAACAGCTGAAGTACAATAAATGAAAAAGTATGAGAACAAGATTGAAGTTGATATTTATTTAATAAAGGATTTGGCTAATATAATATGTAAGTAAGATATTTTAAACTTGGAAGTCTATCTGCATAATAAAATATTTCTCAAATGGATTGTGCAAGTAGTTGCCTTAGAAGTATAGTGCTTATAATAGATGCTAAAGCATTCCTATCTGTGTTGTTCTAGTTTAAATGTGTCTAGTCATTAAATAAATTATAATTAATATAGATGTAATACCAGCTAAAGAGTGAAAAGGAGCAAAAACGTAGTTTTTTACGTAAACATAAACAGATTTAAAGACAAAAACCTTGTTCAGTAGCGTTTACGAATGATTACCAACTAGGTGAAGAAAGAGATAGACACCAGGAAATGGGATTGGAAAAACAATGTCTGAAGTGTAGACTAAGAGAATGTTTTCATAGTGATGTCACCATTAAGAATAGAGCTGAGAAGCGTAATTGTTTAAGTATATCACACACATGAAAAGAATGCGTTAACATCCAAATTAAAATGACGTATATCTTGTAAATTAAGACAAAAAACAATGTATGATTATTGTCTCTCATTCATAGAGGGCGGCCGTGACTTAGTGGTTAGTGTGTCTGGTGTGTGAATCGGAGAATTCATGGTTCGTGTTCCGTTGCCTCAAAAACTCGCTTTGCACTTTAAAACCACGTGTGCACTATAAAAGTAACGCTATAATCTCCTAGTATTCAGTGAGACAAGAGTAGACAAGAATTAGAAATGGGCGGTGTTGACTAACTTCCTTTCGTTTAGTCCATTAGTTCAAAATTAGGTGAGGTTATTTGCCAGTAGTGCTTGTGAAGCTTTGCGCGAATATTTTAAAATAAACCAATTCTCCTTCATAAATATTAGTTACATTTCGACAATAATACTAAGGTAATATGATTACCTAAGTATGTAATTTTAATATACATAACACTGTTATTTAATCTGTTACACTTACTGAAAAATGAGTTTTAATAGACTATCAAAAAGCACAATATTGCAGCTATGGCTGTATATTTTGTGTTGTTATTTTGAGCTATGGCTGTATATTTTGTGTTGTTATTTTGAGGATAGTATATCCTGATATCAGTGGATAATTCGGTGAAACTGACATTAAAACAAGTCATAATAGCATGATGAAAGTAATGTGAAGGGTATAATTGATAAATATAATTGATACTTGAAACTGTCGGTACTTGATGAAACTTCATGATTATAGAATTGAGGAAATCAAAGACAATTGTAAGTTTCCCAAATTTATCATATATTATTACCACGATTTCGCTGATGGTGCCTTTACTGACAAAATCATGGTTATTAAGTGAAATATTTGTGAAACATACAATTGTCTTTGTTTTTGTTTTTTTCAGTTTTGTGAAGCGAAGGGTGTTGGGAAAAGGTGAATTGCAGTAACAACTATAATGCTCTGTTAAATTAAACATAGAATTAAAAGTGTTCCTAAAAAAACTGAATAATTTTCAATTTCATTAGAGTCTGTATAGTCATAGATCTTACACAGTATTCAGATTGTTAAGTGAAAAGTTTCTTGAAAAACAAATAATTTATGACCAACTAAATCTTACAGGTTTAATACCATATGTCTAAATAATTCGAATATACGACATTTCACCAGCAACGTAACATTATTACATTTTCAGTTTTGACAAAGTTAACTATTTAAAGTTCCCTTATTCCAGAAAATAAGGTCATATTTTCGTTTAAATATCGACTGAAACTTAAAAAAAGTTATATTATTGGCTTAGATTGACTTTTTTATTATTTTAGAATTTCCACTTTACATGCTTTTTTTCCGTGAAGCAATAGAGAAGACGATGGAAAAATTGTAATTCTAAGTATAAGCAGTCTTCTATGAGGTCTAGGATAAGCATAAGTAATAAGTATTATTGAGTGGCACCAACACTTGGTTGTTATGGTTACTCTTCTACTAGGATTAGTCTCACTAGCCTTTTCGTTTTTTCCAGATACATGATCTACATCCGGAAGTGGAATTTTGAACGCCAGGGTTGTTTAATTTGATAAAGTCTATTATTTGAGAACCTAGATTACTACGTGTTATAAAATACGTATCACCAGTACGTGTTTCGTGTAATATATAAGTTTAGCATAAAAAATAAATTAAAATAGAAATAATTGATATCAAACTTGAAAAATTTGGAACTGTATATTTTAATGTTTCAACAAATTACGAACAACATATAACGATTTTGAAATTTGAAAATTATACTTTAATAGGTACTTTTAAAATACACTTATCATGCTACTTTTTGAAAAATGTACCGTGTGGCAGCGGATATATGTATACAGACGCACACACACACACACACAAATATCCATAAGTAAACATTACACTATAACATCTGTATATTTTACACCTAAAGTTGAACATTTGCTTTCTTGAAAATAATCCCATCACTTTGAAAACTTTATTGATTTCCTCATTTTTTTTTACCTTATATAATACGCTATTCTAATTTTCACTGAAATAGTTTAAGTATCTTCAACATTCACGAGTAATGAATTATCATTTCAGGACACATCTAGGATATAACCTATTTTAAATAATTACTTTTTTCATGAATTCGGTTGATTTCAGTTTTATTTATTACTTAAAAAAAATATTGTTTAACTAAGAAACTAGCCTTCGATAAAAGAAATTCTTTTAAAATTGGTGCTTACATGATGTATTTTAGGATCTGAGCGAAATTTGTTGGTATAAAAATACATAAAAATAAATAACTTGATAGATAGATAAAAGACAGGCAGATAGAATGCTAGAAACACCGATAGCATAACAGATATAATTAGAAATATTTAAAATTATAGATATATGAATAGAAAGGGAAATGCATATTTTAACTACGAGGACAAAGCAGAAGGCGTTCAAGCATAACACTACGGGAAAGATTTAGAATGCACTGTACGTCTCAATGGGGCACATCCTATACTTTTCACCGATGTTTTGCCTATCTGCCGACCACACATGAGAACATATACATAAAATATTCACCATCCTTCTAATGGATGCTTGTCTTCCTGCTTTCTTCTCATGTTTAAGATATACTAATAAATGCAAATTTACATGTTTATTTTACTTAGAGAGAACTAGATAGACCAAAATGATAAAGACAGGGAAAGATAGATTAACAGACACATCAGTTCATCTGTCATATGAAACTGTTGTGGTTTTAAAATATATCCCCTGCATCATTTTCAAACATGAGTCACCCGAACGTTGAAATATAAGAACACGAAGTACATCTAATTACTGTGTTTAATATCAGTTATTTTTTTATTCTTGGTTTGGAATGAATCTGCCAACACAAACACGTTTTACAGATTTCTGATGTGATTAATTCACGTCTAGAAGTTTGAGTAATAAGATGTAAGAATTTTGTATTCTAGTGTTTGTAAACATTTTCTTTCCGCTGTCATTCTACAAAGGAAAGAAAAATGCTCCTTATATGTATAAAATATATTTTCCATAACGTGAAAAGAGTAAACATATATATATATATATATATATAGACCTTCATCATTTGATATCGCTTGGAAAGCTAAATAAAGCTTAAGTCCCCGGATGTGGTCGCTGGTAATTTGTCTTTCTTGTGACTGTTTAGCTTTTCTCTGGCACAAAACCTCAAAATGTGGGCAAGCGGTGATAAAACGTTACTTTCGTTTTTATCCACCTAGGAGAAAGGAAGTGAATTAAATTTCACCATATGTAGCTACATCTCCGGAGAACATGAAATAAAGACTCTTTTTAGAGGGGTGGGAAGTCAGTAAATGAGATCTTTAAATACCTGCAGTTCACCAGTGAGTTATCAATCATGCACTTCAAGACTGCCTTCCTGGCACGTTAGGCAATTGCTACAACCTACAATACGTGGTGATATGGTGAACAAACTGTTCAATATAAATTTAACCCGAATTGTTATATTAAATCTTATAGAAAATAAAGCACGTTTTTTTTAGCTACAATTGAAACAAAATACACACAAACATAAAAAATAAAACATTTTTATACACTAATATTTTTCATAGAAGTAATGAACTTTATTTAATAGAAACAAAATATAAGTTAACCCAGAGGATTTTATCATCAAACACGTAGCTGGATTTTTCATTTATTTAATTTTTATGAAGTTTGCTTATAGAATGTTGAAGCTGGAAGTTATTATCTATATTGATTATATTTTTAAACTGTAAATTAAGAAGGCTGATGATCTCCTTAGAAATACGTCGGCTTGATTGTATATTTTGTTTGTTTGTTGGTAAGGAACACTGTGCCCACCGCGAGTGTTGAAGACTGAATTTTAGTGTGGTAAGCCCCAAGACTTATCACTGATCCACCGGAGGTTCGCTAGTTTATTTGGAACAGGAAAGAATTGGATATTTCAATCTGAACGTCACCTTATGCGCACGGAATCCAAAGGTACGAGTTCGAGACTCCTAGGTTCACGTATAGCTCTCTCTAAACTTGAAGTACAAAACACTAGGAAGGAAAGCATGTAGTAGCTCTCGCCGCCACAAAGATTTTCGCTCATTGGATCAAATATCGACTACTTTTATTATGCACCCACAGCTGAAAGCATAAAATATGTTCAGTGGCATCACATGTCGAATCATGGACCCTCGGTACGCAGCCCGGCATCATAACGACCAAGTTACACCAAGCCCTAGATTTGCAAAGCTACACACACACACACACACACACGAATTTGTAACATGTAGCTCTAGGACATAAATAATGTTGTAAGTGCGGATGCTCTAATTTGGTGTATCTTTATGTACTCGTGAATTGCACTCACTACCTATCGTAATACGTAATACAGAATTATTCTTTTTTACAGACCTACTCATGGATTCCTGTCTTATAGGAAACATAACTTAAATGTTGACAGAGTTGCATACATGTATTTAAGCACTTTACCAAGGTTTCATTTAAACCTTATAAGTATATATCACAACATACATTAATGTGGTTCATGTGGAGTAGATGAACTGACCGGACAACGAACAAAGCACCACACACTGTCTATGTAATTACATATTACATAACTAGAGAGATCATCATATAGTACCTCCTTAAAAAGTAATAGTGCGAATGAATTATTTAAAACAATTCAAAGTAATATACATATATATTGACCAATGTTTTACTAAAGTTTAATATTCAAGAAATATCTAGTGCTTAACATGAAGATAAACGTAAAATTTTATTTCTATTGAATATAAGGGCTGAACTGAACGATTTTCAGCTTCGAAATTATCAGTCTCGTTGGTAAAGTTTAATAGAAAATATTGGCAAACTTCCACTGACAAGCACTTCTACCATAACGACCTGCTTACTAAGTCTATAAATGATGTAAACAACACAATAGGTAATTTTGAAGTCGTCTCATTCTGTACATGAAGATTATTTGAAGACTGCATCAAGCTAGTCAAGGCGCAAGAAAAAGTGTGCGTATCCTGTAAAATGGGGGCTCATTTCAAAGAAAGTAGTCCGTGGCCCGTTTGTCTGATGATGATGAAGAATGGAGTATATAATCGATCTGTAGGAGTGAATTAGCCCTATAAAAGCTGGACACTTGTTTCTTAAGACGTCTTGAATTATCATTAAACTGGTGACCCTGGTTTGTCGTGTAATATAACGATACCATAAAAACGTTCTTGAGAATAACGGCTTGGAATTGAGATTAACCTTGTATGATATTACAAATCCAGGTATTCATCATAGCCTGTACTCATCGTATCCTGTACTCTTCATAGCCTGTCCCAATTGTAGCCTGTACTCATCGTATCCTGTACTCTTCATAGCCTGTCCCAATTGTAGCCTGTACTCATCGTATCCTGTACTCTTCATAGCCTGTCCCAATTGTAGCCTGTACTCATCGTATCCTGTACTCTTCATAGCCTGTCCCAATTGTAGCCTGTACTCATCGTATCCTGTACTCTTCATAGCCTGTCCCAATTGTAGCCTGTACTCATCGTATCCTGTACTTTTCATAGCCTGTCCCAATTGTAGCCTGTACTATTCACAGCCTGTCCCAATTGTAGCCTGTACTCATCGTATCCTGTACTCTTCATAGCCTGTCCCAATTGTTGCCTGTACTCACCATAGCCTGTACTTTTGATCATTAGGAATACTACCCAAACCTCATCGCGCCTATATATGTTTAAGCAGTACACTTTTGTTAAAATTTATCATTTGGTATTCGGAAAATACTGCTCAGGAATTTTAGTTAAATCTTGCGTTGTCAGAATATTTAACATGGTAAAAATAGATTGGTTGCAAGTATCTTATGTGTTTTAAAATTCTTTCAAGTAAAATACAATAATGTTAGACATTTCATCAAATTAATCGATTAATTTCATTTTCTAAAAGCCATTGAGGTCAAACTTTTGAGGATAACGCTTTGCAATATGCATTTGCATAAAATCTTACTTAATCCAAATGCATTTAATTAACATTGTCGAAGTCTTAAAAAGAGTATCGATTTATAAGTAGGATAACATTTCTTTTTATCCACTTTCTCTATATAATATATATTTAAAGGCACAATTTATAGTTGCTATGGCTACTTTGAGTTTGTTGACCGTCAAAGGTTCAGTGAGATATAAAAACGAAAACGTTACTTTAAATGAATGAGCTGTGGTTTATGAATAGAGCCTTCATATTATATATATTTAATATCCAGTTAATTGTACTAAGGTGTACGATAAGCCTAATTTATTGATCATTAATGACAGAAAATAGAAGACTAAGACATACTACTAGGAGTTTAATTTTTTCTGTCTTCTGCTACAATAATGTACCCAAAAAATGAAGAAAAACGCCTAAAACATATTCATATTCTAAGATAAACACAAGATATTGAGAAGTAGATGACACATACTAATATGTATATATAAATATATATATATATAGCCTTGATGAAAGAATTAACACAAAAGATCGCTAAAAATTGAGTAGCGTTCAAAAGTCTCAGAAACAACTGGCGGAGTCTCTAATTTTATCAAATAGTTTTTAAATTCTTCACTTTGTTTTTTTTTATTACTGAACTTTTGAGAGCATTGAATGGATTTTCAGCTTAAGCTAGTGTTGTGAGTATAGTTTTGGTAGATGGCTGAAAGATCTGTTATTTTGGGGAACTGAAGCTCATCTGATGTTTCTTCCAAATGCTTTCCGTGACCGATAAAGAGTTATCAAGCGATTCAGTTTATCACCATAACGTTGTAATAAAACATAGGCTTATACACATTTTCAAGAAGCTTTTAAAAAGCGTGAATGAAATAGAACTTATTAATTTATATAATAAATATACCTCTCAGTTGAAACTGAAAAGCAAGTTATTGTTTACTCTTTTGCAAAACTAAGCCTTGTCTGTATTTATAAGGTATTAAAACAGCAGGAAGTTTTAAGCCTAGTTAGCATAAATGAATTTTTAATCGTATAAAACTACCCGTTATTGGTACAAGTTTCTGTGTATAGTTTCTGTACTTTTTTATTTTTTTGCTCAATTTACAGATTTTTTGGAGCTATTTTAAAAGTGTCCTGTGGCAATAAAAATGTTACATTTTGTTCTTTTTCTTCAACACCGGTTGAAAAGATAATTGCTTTTGAGTTTAAAGGTCTCTTTTTTTCATTAATCTTTAAAGATTATACATTATGTTGCTGGGATTCTTGTACGATATGTATTTCATGCCAACTCGCGATACTTATCCAAAAAAGTCCAATCAAATGATTATGATTAATAACGAGGAACAAAAAACGAAGTTAGTCACAAACAATAACACAATTTATCTTTGTCGTCTTTGAAAATTCTAGTGATGGTTAAATTGATATCTTATACACAGTAGTCTGGTACTTATGAAATAAAAGTATCATATAAGACTTTGTACAGTAAGTGTACTAGACAACTAAAAACAAACTAAAACTTTAAATGTGTCTAGTCGATTGGTTACGACCTCGTATTATATTTATTTTTCATATAATTAACTCGAGTCGCAAAGTTCATTTCTTTACATTTACACTGCCTGGTTCTTTTCATTTATCATAAAACTTGGAGTTAAGCCTAAGAATAAAAAAGAACAACAGAAACAGTTTCTAGTTAAGAAAATCTTTTCAGTTCACGAACTGAATGGTTACTTTGTTCCTAATCGCTCATTTCACCCATTGTAAACCTAATTTTATGATCCGTTTTCGTTTGTGTTTCTAAAATTAGAAGCAAATAACAAGAACTTTCTCGTGGTTCTCACCTTAGCATGTGTTCAAAGTAAGGACTGAAACGTATTTTAACTGTATATCACTAGACCTTTTAGTACAAATGTTACATCTGTCAGTAGTATCCGGAAAATGACTTATGCAAACAAGACTGGCATGGATGACTTTTCGATCACTTGAAGTGAATGGAACTGACCGAAACAGCGTCTCGTGATTTGTCCCAAGACAACAGTAGACACTACATTTTTCAACCTAGCATATGCAAACGCTACTTTAGCTATATTTTTCTCATTTGATTAGTTTTCCTTAATTGCATGCGGTTAATGAGTTTGTGAATTTGAGGCTATTATTCAATTTACCAATTTGAAGCCATTCGCTAAAATTATTTACGGCTTTCTTGAACAACCAATATTTGTCATTTTGTGGTTCTTAAGTTAATGTATATACTCATAAAATAAATGC